TGGCATTATTTTTGCAAATATGTTTTTTAAGCAATTTAAGGAAGAGCAATTTTTTTTATAAATTTAAGGAGCAATTTTATATCACGTGACATCAAACCTGGAAATTTTATGGTTGGGTTACGTGAAAATCAGCAGCATAAGAATATATATTTAATTGATTTCGGACTTGCAAAGAAATATATTGACAAGGTAAAATAACAAAGTAGTAAAGAGTAATGTGAAGTGAAAATAGCGCATGAAGGAATTGTTTGTGGAAGATTGGTGACAGTAGAATTATAAGTGACAGTAAAGGAAATGCTTAACAGTATTATTAATGATAAGTTTATTGGAAGTAGAAATCATCGTTTCACTTTGTACATGATATGGCAAATATTAAAGGCAAGGAAATGCCATGATGAAGGCTGAAATCAGTGTTTCCGGACATTATTTCGATTTCTTTCACAATATTTTCACAAGAATTTAGAGTGGTAGATTGATTCCATCACGCGGTGAAGTTGGATGGCGTGGAACGACGCGTTATGGTTCTTTGAAAGCACATCTAAGATTAGATTTATCAAGAAGAGATGACTTAGAATCCTGGTTTTATCTTCTCGTTGAAATAACACGTGGATCACTACCATGGCGTTATCTTAATGGTAAATTAATCATATATTTACATTTTTGAATTAATACCTTATTTGTTTATCTGTGCTAATCATTGTACATAAATAATATAGATCGTATGGGTGTGCATGCAGCCAAATTGATGGCACGTAACGATGGTCGGACGCAATTTTTTCATGAATGTCCTAAACAATATGAAGCAATTATGACATTAATTGATTCAATGGCATATGAAGATAGGCCACATTACAGTGAATTTGTTGATTTATTAATGGATGTAAGTAGTATTATGTAATTAAAACATATTCCGTTTTATGCATAATGCTCAACCGTGAAACAATATTTTTTACATTTATAGAACAGTTTTTCTTTAAAATGATTTTCAGATCAAAAAAGAATGGAAATTAAGTCTCAGATCAAATTTTGATTGGGATGATGATATAGCATCAACACGATCTATCACTCAAAGTATGTCATCAGATGTAGAATATATGAATGCTGCACACGAATATGCGAAGAAAGCAACAGATGTGGATTCAAAAGAACGCGAAATATTTGGTGCAAAAGATTCACAACCTGCAGCATTGTAAACTTCATCTGTACATCAGAATCAACGTTAATTATATGAAAAATCTCTTACAGCTGATTGATTGTAATGCAGTTTTAAAAATTATTCTAGAAATTTGCAAGTTTTATTATTATCATCAACTGGATTAACTGATTAAGCAAGTCATAAAATTATTGAAATGTCAGTGTTGATATAAATTCCATGTTAAATTTTAATTTAATACATTATAGATATGATCAGAAAATTTGCATAAATCATGGTTGCTTAGAAGTATTGAGTTTAAAATGTCAAAGTTAATCACAAACTAAATTATTTAAATATTTAATTAATCTTTTGTGTAACATATTGTGAATATGTCATAAAAATTAATATTCGTTAATAGTAGCAACAATACAACATGTAAAATTATATTAAATTGATCCATTTATTTGCGCTTCAGTCTAATTTTCAATTATCAAAAACAAGGTTATTTAATGATTACTTGAAGAGCGCATGGTGTTACTCGTACTTGGATGGATACATTTGTGCAATATCGGTACTCAAATACTTAAAAACCAGTTTTGTACAGATTAAGAAAATTGCTTATGAGGTCAGAAAAACGTACGCATTTGTGTGTATAAGAAGAGTGTTACAGGTATTTACAGTCAAGCGAAAAAACAGTGACTTTTGTATGGGAATGGTGTCAGCCAGTACCAGTTTCATCCTTGCACCAATATTCACTTATTTTTTCTAGCAGTCGTAAGAGAATTAAAAAAGATAGATGAAACCGGTTCTGAAGTATCAATTATTACTTCTTGTTCTAAAACTTTGACAATAACAGTGAACAATAATAAGATTGACTGATTTGAATTAATGAATCAACGAACTAGTCAATATTACTGATTTCCATGAAATGATTGATTCTGATAGTTCAGTTTCTTTCCTTGTACTTATTTAATTTGTAATTTACTGCAAAATCCACTTGCTTTTCAGTAATAATCTGCAAGACTATGTATTATGAGCTCTCTCTGAGTTATTTTCTCTTAGATTAAAATAGTAATGCTTCTAAATTTTGTAAAGTTTCAGAATATACTCAGATTTAGTAATGATAAATGAATTCACATTTTATTTGAAATAAAGTAAGCATATGCAAAATAATAAACGACAAAATGCATTTTTCGGTTTTGAATGATTGAGCTTGCTGTCTAATTTTAATGCTAATATGGATGAGAATTCTATTAAAGCTTATCAATGAATAGGAAATCTTGACTGATGATACTTAGATGGCGCCGGTGTTAAATTTAAATCAGTTATTAATTTATGACTAGACACCATTAACCGTCCTTCACGCACAACGTTCTGTTTATTTTCTCATGAAAAGTAACATAATCTAGAAACTTGAAATGATCTCCAGTCTTCTCTGACCTTTAATATATAAAGTGAATAATACATATGTGAAACGTGAAAACAAACTCCCACAGCCATGACAATATTCTTACTGAACCACTCTTCATTTTAAGCTTACTACACATATTTTTTGCTTTCTTAGCCTTATGCAGAGGCCGCACTACTACTTTTATTTAGCGATTTTTTGAAAACATAAACATAATAAATTTTAATATTGAAATGGAATGAAAAATGTATAAATAGCCTTTCTAAATTCAATAACGATATAATTTATTTAATACATGGAATGTGAGCAACAAGTACAAAACATACAGTACAAAGTACAAAAAATATGGAAAGCATAAATCATAAATATTACTTCCAGTTTAACTAAGAAAGATGAACTATTGTCTTGATAATCGCAAATAGTTCTAGACAATGAAAGAAGTATTTGTTATTTTGCCGATTTAAAAATCTATTGATATAGCTATAATTTACAGACAAATCCTTTCAAAACCTTAAGCAGTCGATAGTTTACATCAAAAAATGAAAAAACTTGCTTATTGCCAAGGACAGAGGATGAAAAGTATATGCATCTGATTGTGGTTAAGTACCCAAATATTAAATCAAATAAACTTTCCTTGCGCAAAACGATGTATCTATTGCTTTTATGCCTAAAAATTAATAACAAAATTCATTCTAAAAAGAGAATTCAGCTGAAAAAAATTTCAATTTAATGGGAAATTCAACTTTGAATACATTTTTTGGCCTAAAAAAGTGATAACTTTTAATATCAAATCCATTACTTCCGAAGCAATCTCGAAAATGCAACGTTTTTTTCAAAACTCAAACTCATCTACACAATGTGCTTTTTTTTGCCTTTAAAGAAAACCTGATATAAATCAACTAATGTGAGAAAGCGACTGATTTTTAGACAGGATGCTAAAAACATACAATTTGAAAAAAATAGGTGATTAGACGACAAACAGTATAGACTACAATTAATATTACTACAAATGATCAAGTCAGATCAGATTAGACATATTAATCATAATGAAATATATTTATTAAGTTGGAATACTACTTCCATCAACAATGAGAGTAAGCATTTACAAAATGACATCTAATATAAAAGTGAACGTTTTTAACAAATATTAGCTACAGATAATTAGAAATAATACAAACTTGTTCTAAATGTTAAGAAATACTAGAATGTCAACTTGACTTCAGTGCAAAGTTTGTCCTTTTAATACTTTGCCAAATACTTTAGTATGTCTGTTTTCCATCGAATACATTTCATTTATATCTACTTCATAAATCTTACATACACTCGCTTGTCGCTCTCACAACACTGACAGAAAAAAGCCATACCATGAATTTCTCGGAAATGAATTTTAGTTGGCCAAAATTATTTGACAAAAAATGTATTCAGAACAAATATTACGCATCTCGTTTCTTAGGACATATAATTGATATGTACTGATCGTAGCGTATCACTTGAAGACGAATAATCAGAACAAAGCAATCGTCTGAATGCTGTAACATCCACTGTCTTCAAATCGTCCGGAAATACACTCTAAATCAGGCAATAATTAGTCTCAAATCATGATTTGAAATATGCTTTGATGAAATCTTTATAACGTTGCAACTTCTTTTAGAACTTTTTTGGAGGAATTGTCTTTAATTATCCAAAATCACTTAGTTTTTTGTGATAAATTATGTCATATATTTGATGAAAACCAGCTTAATATAAAAAAGATGTATAAATAAAATAAGAGATAACAATAGTTTTAAAAAGAATGATGCTTTGCTTTTAAAATTGTCATTTCTCTTATTTTGCCGAGTGGCAACAAACAAAAGTACTAGTGAAGCTTAATACAATCACAAAAACAAACAAATTATCATTACAAAACTGTCTGAAATACATTCATAATCATTGCAGAAATATCTAGAACCGTCTCGCAAACTACTACAATAATGTGACTGACTGTTAACAGGTACGGTATGCTTCATAACTGGTAGTACTTTCAAGGACAGCTTGTTAATTGTATCAGATAAGGGCTAGAATGGTATTTAATCATACTCTATCTGTATTACAATACTATCATACCTTTTATTTTTCTTTCCGTTTTTTCATTATTCAATTTTTTTTAAATTTTTATCAAAGTTATTTTTTCAGATATTTTCTCCAATATTTCTATTTCAAAAACTTCCAAACCAATGTGCAGCACAGTAATCTAACAACAAGCTATTTTTTGTTAGAAAAAAATCTTTAATTCGAAAGAGTTTAATTAATCGTAAAAAGAACCCATTAGTACTATTTAATTCTTAATTTACTCTCAGTAATAAAAAATAACAACTTAACAAACTAATAACTGCAATATGTATACTGAAAAAATCTTAGACACTAAAAACTAAACAATCAGAAATTTTAGAAATTAATAAGTAGACGATATTTATCTAAAGAGTAGTCATTTTAAAAATAAGTTTTGCAAAAAAGTACATTTTCCGCTTCTGATACAAGATTTTGCTCAGTTCGAGAATTGTTCTTGGTGTTATTTGTTTTGTCATTTAACTGTTCCAGCTGCTGCTCTAAATCCATTACTTGTGAAACTGTCTCTATCAGTACCTGCAAATACTATTTATCTAATCATTTTCAACCTCATTTAAATTAAACTGACACATATCTGAATTTAATAATTGAAATATTAGATTCCAAATGCGTAACTTTTAGTTTTAATGTAAAAAGATAATTATAGTGTCCATCATTGACTAATTGGTTCTATTTGTAGCAAAATATATTGCAAGATACGCTTTAAAAAACCCAAATAGTATTTATTTAAAACAAAATTGACAAACTGTCAAAAAAACGCTAGGATTAAAATTAGTTAATAAGTCATCTATTCATTCTTATTATTATTACTTAGCGCTAAATTTCTTCGTTATTTAACTGGGACTGTGGTAACTCCCATACGCAAATAATTCAAATACAACACATTTTTAGGATATTTCAGTCATAGTTTTGTTTGCTTTTCAAATGATAAAAGATACCACAAATCGAATAATAAATTGTTTTGCAACAAAATAATTTAGAGTGGTGTTGAGGAAGAAAATTGATCGATTTCAATCACCAGGATTACAATATTCTTCAGTCAGTAATTTGTTAAAGTAAAATTATAAAGACATTCAACGCTAATAAAGATCCGTAACACTTTGTAATTTTTTCATCAGTAACAATGAATTACAAATAAACAATATAATTTGTCAATAATAACAAGTTCGATACTATTAAGTGTTCTATACATTTAAGTTCAAGTAGAAATACTAGAAAATCAAAGCTAAATTTGACAAAAAATTATAGCATTTCGTGAGCTACTGTTACTGATACCAATCAAGAAAATGTAATCTAATAATCAAAATTATAAGAAACTGACTTGATAAGCAGTTTTGTTGAAGGGTAGCAGCGGTATCAATTGACGTAATCTTTCAAAAACTTGCGCCTCACGTTCAGGGGATCGATACGAAATAGAAGCAGCCGTCGGCATCGCAGCTGAACAAAGCGGAACAGAATGTGGTGATTGGCATTCCGAGCCGATGCAAGGGGAAACTAATGGTTCCGGACTCAGTGATTCATATGATGCAATGCTGTAACTTGGCGATGGCTGCGAATATTCACTACTACTACTGCTGCTACAGTTTGAATTTGAACTAATACTACTATGTCGTAAACGCTCGTTTGGAGTATTGTATGGATGATGCCGAGAGTAATTTGCGTGAAGCATACGTCGATTGCACGTATTAATTTGGTTCCGCGTCATTGTATCAACCATAATTGGGGGATAATGCTGCTGAAAAATGACAATAATTTAGGATTAAAGTTATAGGCTGTCTCTTTGAAATATAAACAAAATCACTTTTTATTCAGAAAAATTAAGAAAGATCTGACATTTCTATATCCAACCAATTTTTCCCATTCTACCTCGAATTTATTATTGTATGAAATTGAAACATTAGTATTTTGAAAACGGAAACAAAATAATAGTAAAAAGAAACGATTGAGTTGAGACGGTTAAAGTCGTTCAAAAATAATAATGATTAAAATTTATACCTGAAATCAATAAAACATGTGTACCAAAGTATTTTTAAAATTAGTGCTATAACATATATTAACGGAATTGTACATCAAGTAAGTAATGCTTAACTTTTTGAGAGATAATATGAGCAACAAAAATCGAAACTAAACAATAAAATCATTATTGAAAAGGCTTTAATATAAATTAAAAATAAAACATAACAAGACATTAAAATACGCCTTACTTATTTTATTAACGAATCGTTATTCGTTAGTCCCAAAAAACTATCAGCAATTCTCGAAATAATTTAAATTTTGAAATAATTTCTAAGCTGAGAAAAAGTTCTTAATCTTCAACTTTTCATAGCAGTTTCTATTGACCATATACATTTTGTTATGAATTTAAAACTAAAAGTTCTATTAAATTAGTACTTACGAAAAAAATCTTTTTACAGACATAGAAATAATAATGAAGTAAAATTTCAGATTCCGGATAAAACAAATTTTGAACTACTTCATCCATAATAATTTGATAATTCTCAAACTCTGGAATAAAAATGTGTTTCATCCATAATAATTCAGAATCGTCAAATTATTGTGGATGAAACAAATTTCAAGCTACTGTGTTTCACTGATTTCAAAAAATCTAGTTATAATCGATTAAATAATTCATATTAATTTGATAACTTTCAGAGTAATTATATTTACTGAAAAATTGATACCAATTTACTTTCAGTGCAAAATTTTTGATGAGAAAGCTTTCGATGCAGAGCAGTTTCCTTACTTATACACTATCATTTGATTTTGAATAATTTTAAGTTAAAGAATCAAGAAAAGATTCGATACTAAATTTTAGAGTTATGACAAAACTATCGCAGTCAAATTACTAATTTTTGAGATTTAAGATTTAAAAAAATGGGAAATCTAATCATAAATTTTTATCATTGAATTAAAATTATTAGGTGCATAATTCCATCACCCTATTTAATTAATTCAAATTTCTGCAATAAACTGCTAATGAAGTGAAATAATTTAAAATGCCGAAAATTGAAACTGATCCAACAGCTTCAATTTTCAGAAAGGCATTCGAAAAATTAGGTTAAAATCAGCAAATAAAACCTCATTATTCCAACCAAGCAATGTCCGAGTTTTTTCTTGAATTGTATCTCCTAGAAATAAACCACCACAGTGTACTTTCGCAGGCATTATTTCACCTTTCAATTCTTGTTGTTTACGAACTTTTTTGAACAGGGAACAGAATATCTAGAAAAATTTATAATTCAACAATCTTTTCTCTTTCAAATATAAAGTCTTTGTTCGTTTTCAATTTATTAATTATGAAAAATGTAATATTTATTCATCGCAAAAGGGAAATAATATCAAATAGCAGTACTGTAATATAATCTAAATGACAGGATAAATTCATTCAAATGTTAAATCCAAATCCAAATAATACAAAATTTATCAATAATAGAGATTATTTTCCGCTAAATACAAAAGGTATTCAATAAATAGCAAAACTAATCTTTTAAATGACTACCTTATTCAGAAAAAATAAAATAAATAATCAAATATGTCGTACACTCGAAAAGATGTTTGTGAAAAAAATAAAAAAAAGTTTTTCACAACCATTAATTTCGATAGAATACAAGAATACGTTGGACATTACAGTTTAGCATTAACTCGTTTCCTTCCAAAGATTTATTGTACGCAATGATCTCAAATGAATGCAATAAAATTCGATATGATTGAATTGCAGAAAAATTTACCAACTTGTAATACAAAGATAAATAAATGATAAGTATAAAATTGATAGATATGAAATATTTACATTTAAAAAATGATGATTTTTGTAAGTAATAACTTAATACTTCTAATAATCAATTTTCTCTAAGAGTAAGATAAAAGACTATCATGAAAGCATAACGACAACTACGAAAATGTACAACAATTACAGGAAAATTTTCGGGTGCCATTCCGAGCCAACCCATAGCAACTACTTTGACCCTCCCATTCTCCCTTTTGCTTGTCGTAAATTGTCACATTTTCCTCTTCTCTCGCTCTCTGCTAACCCTTAACAATACAGTCTCATTTATTCCTTTACTCTTTTCCATTCCAATATAATAATCTATCACTTATTTTGCTACCTTTTTTCACTTTATTACAATACTCTATCGTTCTCCTTTCTATTCTTTTCTCTCTTCACATCTCATAATATCATATTTTTTCTTTCTGCTAGTCGTATACTTACTCATATTATCATTAATAGATATGCAAAATAGCTGTTAAAAATTGCTCTTTTTTGATAACAAACAAGAAGTGGAAATTGTGTTTGAATTAGTATCTACTCTAATTTTTTATTTTCTACAATATAAACTTATACTCTTTTGTCCTTTCACTGCGAATGATTATTGGTTGCACTGCAAAGTTTTGAATATGAAAGAACATAATGCAACATTTTTCAGAATAATTTGCTCATTCATTTCATGCTTTTTTCTCTTCAGTGAGCGAGTCATTCAAGAAATTGAACAATTTCAATGCTACAAATTAACTTACAGAGTTATTTCTTGCAATGGTCTGGTTACATACAACTATGAAATGATTACTGCAGTACAGTATTGTTAATAGCTTTCTGGATAGAATGTGCGAGAAAATTATGAGAAGTTGAAATGAAGTAGTCAGAAGTATGCTGCATACTGTGGTAATAAATTTAGGGTCATCGCAAGAAGTTGCTGAAACGAGTGGAATAGAAGTTGAAAAAAGTTTCGTACTCAAAAATAAGATTGACCAAAGTAACTTAGAAATTTTCAATAATAACTGGATTTTGCGCAATTAAAGTCTGTTCTTTCCTTTTCTAGCAAAGTAATTATATCTTTGCTTTAATAATTTTAGAAAGAAAAGTTATGGTTAATAATACATTTGAGTCAAAGCGTTTAAACTACTGAAGTGAGTTTTTAAGCAGTTTAATTATTTAAACTTTTAGAAAAAATTATACTAATAATTTTTTAAGCTTCAGAAAAGTACAGTTTCAAAAATATTTGAAATTTTACTAATAATAATTTAAGCCTCAACGTTGTTTCAACAATTCAGTTTGAATTATCATCATCAGAACATATGGTATTAGATCATTGAATCATCATAGATGACACGTAATAGCACATTTTAATGCTCATTTGATATCGTTGTTTTCTGTTAATTCAAATGATTTGAACTGATTTGATCAATCATATTATTTTTCAAATAATTATGAAGAGAACAATGATTAAGTGAGATTGGATAGAAGGGAATTCTTTAATTTAATGCTAAATTATGTGGGAAATTTCACGTTAACGGGGAATAACATTGAATGGTAGAATACAGTTCAAAATATCGTAAAAATTTTTTAAATAGTATGCATCATTAAAATAAGAGAAGATACTGTATTCAGATTACTACAAAAAAAGCAGTAAGTACTTTACAAGAACTGTAATTTATGTCTGTTCATTTCATTAATTCAGATCAGTCTTATCAGTGATAATGAAAATTATCTTTTTCATGATTTTTATTGACTTCATTTTTTACAATATATATGCTAGCAATATTTCACTTAAAGTACTTTTGCCTTAGAAAGTAAATTAATTTTACTTTGCAGATGGCTTCAGTATTACGATAGTAATATAAGTTTACCTTTTATTTCTATTAAGAGTGACCTTCTCTTCTAACAAAAATTTCCTTACTTTTCAAAGGTTTTAAATCTCATCCATTCACTTGAAATGTATAAGCATATATATATTCTTGTTTTCACCATTATTAAATGAAATTGGTCATTTATTGTATGCTATCGATAGTTATTCTCTAATACAGCAATAGTTAATGCTGTTGAATAAACATGTAAATACTTGTTACTTGGTCATTGAAATATTTACTAGTAATACTTATTAATATATGACTAGTTACGAGAGGATTGAAAAAGCTGGCAAAGTAGAAGCTGAAAAGCCTTCAAACGATCTAATCAAAATATAATGCTAATAATAACTAATAACTGAAATGATTAAATAAAGGTCAGCACAGTAGTGCTTAATCAAAACTGATTTTAATCAGAAACAGATCAATTATTAAATCAGTAATAAGTAATACAGACATGAAAAGTACTGCTAACGTTTCATCTCATTTTACTTGAAACAGGTTGCAGTGCAACTATCCTCAGCATGTGGATTCTGTGGAAATGCCGGTTGCATAATACCGCGGTGTCACCAGTCACAGCTGTCTCCAAGGTCAGTTGTACCCTGTATTGTACAACTCCCTTTCAATTTCCCTCTCGCCCTCTGTTATATAACTTTTAAGAACTACTTATTACAAATATTGGAAAAGCATATTTTTTCCCATCAATTATCATAATTCAATATTATGCAAATTTTTTCAGTAAAATGCTCAAATCAGCAACAACAGTTCGAGAGATTGGAAAACAGAATATTTGACAAAATAACAATTTTTGTTTTTGTATACTTTCATTACCCAGAAAATATTGACATCTTTGAATCTTTCAGGACGTAAAGTTCTTAAAATATCTGCGATACTAATCGAGTAATAGCTGTGTTTCTGGAAACTGAAAGATCCAGAAACAACATAGTTCAGTGATTGAGGAAAAATCATTTCTATAATATACGAGTAATCACGAGTGATTTTTTGACAAAGCTATCATTTACCATCATTACAGCGATGACAACGATAGTGATCATATAAGTAATATTATGTATCGCGGATTGTATTTGTATTTCATTTATTGTTGAGACTAGTATTAAAATAATTTGTAGATTATATTTCAAATACACTTTTTCGTTCATGCCATCAGTTATCATATCAAAGACTCATTTACTCATTAATCTGTAAATTAATTAATTATTTAATTAATTGGCTCACTGATTAGTGCAAAAAAATCATACAGTATCATTTTTGATTAATTTCAAATTCTCTAAGCTTTATCTTCCAGACCATTATTAATAAGCGTGCTATACACATATGTAATTTATTATTATTACTTGAATTAATAATTTTTATAATTCACGCAACTTGGTGCTTTAATATTCATAATATTTGGTGTGCATTTTTTACATATAATTCTTCACAATACAGTCTATGTAAATATGTTATATAGAGATGGTCAGATAGTTATGAGTTTCTATGGCGATAAAATTGTGTATAACAAGACGTTGTTCAGTTGAATACATACCTTAATTTTAATCTCGTATATGAATGGAATTTTTGTAATTCCCTTGTACATATTCTATTTTGCAATCAATTTGCATACGTGTAAATCACTTATTCAACAACTTCTTCAATTATCTACTATTTGCTTCAAACTTACTTTGTTAGTTAATTTCTTCTGCTATTCATGAAAATGCCTATTCGAGCATATCTAATTCAATACAATTTGTGCACATTTATGGGGAATAATTGAATAATAAAAATGTTTATAAATTGCATCACAGTCTTAATATAGTTATTACTCAGTTGAAAAAGTATTTCTTTAAAGAGTTAGAGGAGAGTATCAAAACAAATCTAAAAGTAATGAATCAAAATGATTAAAAAAGAATTATTTTCAAAAAGAGCTGATCAGCTTGTCATCAGGCCAAATATGAACTGTTGAGATTTGTGTCTCATAAAGAATCAAAATGTTTCATTTTGATTTGCACTTCGCTTCACAATGGATTGATATGGGTAAAATGTTTCAGGATTCCATATGGGTTACAATTTATTGCAATGAGCGAAGTTCTGAAATGTGGAATGTATGTGACACATTTGTGGTGTCATGTACAATAGCAATTAATCGCAAATTTACCATTTAATTCAGTAGTCAATAGATATGATAAGAAAACTTTCCGGGAATTATCAGATAACTAAATTCGAGAAATTATTCAAAGGAAATTAATAACTATCAATCAATTAATAACGATGAAAAATATAATGCAAAATTATTCTTATTTCTTTATTCTTAATAATAAAATGCTCGCGCAAACAATTGATAATGCTGAAGCAAAGCATAAAAGTGACAAGCGTGCGTGAGCTCTTTTTAAATATTTCATTCAAAAATTAATCACTTTAATAGCACTTCAGATACTAAAAATTCTATCACAAATATTTACAATGCTTTTAATTCAATTATTGAAAGAGCGGGAAGGAATCAAAAGAATAATCACGATGTTTTTTTTTGCTTTTTTATGAAGTTG